CACAAACAAACATACACACACACACTGACAGGGTCGTTGCAATATGCGTTTTTGCTGCCTGTTGCAACGCTCTAGCACCGCACGGCAAAAACGCATAAAAACCGTCCTATTTACAGCTTACAATTGGCATATATCCCACAGGAACGTTCAGTCTAGTATCAAACACTCAGTGCAAATAGCACATCTATGTAAGCAAAATCAACAAGACCATCGAGGCAGTTGAATTCCCGACACAAGCCTACAAGTCCAGTATAGTTAAATGCCAAGCCATCATATAATGCGTTGCGTGGCTTCGTGTTTTAGCTAATTACACTACGTAATAAACATTTATCGCCCGAAACAAACACGCAAAATGCCCCAGGTGCAGCAGAGAATAGTTAAAACAACCTGCTAGTCGTAATAATTTCAGGACGAACACTTCGCTGAAATATGCAAATACTGCCACATTTACCATGGCCACACGAACACACCTGCAACAAATATCAGTAAGGTGTACAACAGCTCATCACTGTCATGCGTTTTTGAGGCAAAATGATACGCGCTCATAGTCAATGAAAAAGCGCACAGAAATTAATTTTGCGTGGCTTTTTTAACTTGTTGACCGAAAATACCAAGATCACCCGGACAACCATTGTAAGAATTTCCCGTTAGCGATGCCACTGACGAATGCCACGCCTAGCTGTGCCAGTCCTCCCGATCCTGAGCATAGTTGTTAAAGCATAAAACATCAAACGTCACAGCCAATACTCTCCGTAATCCTTCCTACAGAAAGGTTAAAAGGCAAAACGAAGATTCGAATAACCCTACTTTTTCAATAGAAGCCGCTCCCAGGCAATATGGATATCAGTTCCATGCTCTCTGAGCATGCCCGAGGCAAGCTGAGCCTACCCTGTCACGCAGAGCAATACAAACTTCTACCTTATTTTCGAATTTGATTGAAGGGGCTCGAGTCTAAGAATAAGCGCCAGCGAAAGTAATGAAATTATTGGCTTTAGGAAACTTCTCTCACAATGAGCAGAGAAATTTTCAAAGGTAAAAAAGCAGCTTGGTCGGTCCTAGTGTGACTTCTGGTATTTCAAAAACGGAGCTCTCGGAAAATCGTACAACTGAACGATAATCAACTACTGGCATGGATGATGTCCATCATAAGGAGAATGAAAAACACACCAACTAATGAACTGAGGAAACACACAAGTGGCGGAGATAAAGTGGCACACAAAGCATTCATGTTCTTCTGAAGAAAGAAAAGAAGCAATGGAAACCGACTCAGAAGCATCAGCAATCTGGCCATTCAATCAGACAACCTTAAACTGTGAAAAGATCGCTATGCAGCGAAGGTGCACTGTAAGGAAATCACACTTATAAGATCTATTAAAAACACAAATAATACCAAATCAAACAAAGGATCGCGTCTGGAAACTTCCTGGAAGTAAGAACTGATGCTTGGGCAACCAGCGGTGATTTTCTTACATGGACCAACATTTAGTAGTTTATCGAGTACCCGGATATTCATTTTTTCTGTCACTGTTCCCGATTTTACTGTCTAAATAAAAAAAAACCTCGTAAAAATACGCCAGAAATATTGAATTATAACGAAAACAGAAGAATGATCAGCTGTAACGGAAACATAATCGGAATGAAAAACGCTTGGTGCGCTCTTTCGCCACCATATCAAAATCAGATACTTCTCCAAATCAACGGCATATAGAATATTGTTATGTCCACACAAGAATGTAAAACCTGATGGGCAGGACATGTCTCCTGCCACACTGGGTAGTGATTAAAGTCGCGACAGTAATTGCAAAAAAAACACTTGGACGGCATCAAAAAAAATGACTGGAAGAATGTATGGTACTTCCTGGACTGGCAAAAAAAGAATAAATAACGAAAGCTGTGGTGTAAAAATGCAAGCAAGGCCTGAAGTCCATCCTCCTCGAAGGGTAAGATATCTGTCATATCAAAGAATCGCTGTTTACTGTTTTCAGAAGAACAGTGTCAACTCACCTGTGGCACCATTTTTCCATAGAGTTCAACATCTTCATCTTCTTCGTTCAGGTTCAGGGCTGCGTTTAATTTTGCTTTCTTTTCCGGAGGTTCATCTGCGGCAGTTGGTTCGAATGTATAATGCAAAAAGACGGAATCACCAAGACGAGAACCGATGAAAAGATAACCTGGTGCACAGTAAGTCATCGTGTAAGGGATTGTTGTTTCTGAAAAGCACAGAATTGCTCAAATATTTTTCAGTGGCATTTTGCATGTGAATTTAACTTTTCTTACCAAGAATATCAAGACCGTCCAAGCAATTGGTGTA